GAGTTCCTTCCAGTGAAATTCCACTCGGGAAGATTTCGTGGGCTGACCTTAGGCGACCCTTCCGAAGTTGAACAACCCCTGAGCCCTCCGAAGCCGAAGAGTGGCTTTTCATTTATACAAGCCGGGTTTTCCCGTCACGAATCGTCAAGCGAATGTTTTCGTTTGAAATTAAAGAATAAGACTGGTGTGCTCCGCCGTCACTGATAAATCTCCACTTCGATCGACTGAGATTAGGATAAATTAAAAATGAAGAAGAAATGGACTTAGAATTCGCCCTAGGCTTGCATGAAACACCAACTATCACGATTCTCAACGACGGTGTCATCTAACTTATCGCTCGGCGGGAATTTTCATTCAAGTTCCGAGTGAAGTTTTACTCCGGGAAATTAAAAGAGTACATTCCCACGACTAGGCGGATTTTTTATAGTTTTGTAGTTGACGGTCGGATACTTGTCGCTAAGACTGACTGTACATATCTTTTGAATTATTCTCTCATTTATTTATGTGCTGCTACTTAAAAGCACCTCTTTCGTTTCTTCATTTCCTTAAAATCCGGGCTACTCTTTAGAGAGACGGACTTTTACCTCTCGGATATTTTAATATAAAAACCGCAGACGGAAACTACGCAAACGCACGCCTCCGCCCGCAACGAGAGACGAGATCCCATCGACGAGGTGCTCCTTCATCGTCTCCCCAGTAACGACTTTACGGTTCACGCTACGTCCTAATTTCATGGTCTGACCATGAACGACGGCATCTGAACTTTCCCATAGCCAAGACTTTATAATGGTATCGGAGCGGATACGCTCTCGCCGATCATCTCCCGGGCCCTCTGAGCTTTCGGCGTTTACTACACTCGTCACATGTGCGATATTCCTCGTACGGGGCGGCGGGGGATCCTGAAGCGGTTTGGAGTGTCCAGGATCGGACAGAGGGTGGACAAGAGAGAGCGCCGGGGGGGGGGGGTTGATCGTGTCTCGACGAGAAGGGGATGCGCGGTTCAGCGCGCGGAAGGGGGTATCAATAGCTCGTTAATCGCGACGAAGGGTGGATATTCGGAGCGATACATATCCCGAAACCCTCGTGCCACTCCCTCGCGCTCTCCCTCTTGAATTGAAATTTATTTAAAACGACGCACTGACGTGCCCCGGGAGTTTGCACCCCGCACTCCCCCCCTCTCTCTCTCTCTCTCTCTCTCAGTCTATCTTTCTCTCAGCCCCTCATGTGAATCGCGAAAACGGCGCACAGGTTGCCGGGACACTGGCTGCGCTCTCGAGTCAAGTGCACGCAAGATTAAACCTTCCACCGTTCTGTCTCGCCTGGATGACCACGCCGCTTTCATCGCGCGCCGACAAACCCTGAGAACACGACTCGCCTCGAAACCACCTCGCCGAACTTCTCCCACGAAACTGCTGCTGCTGCTGCTGCTGCTGCTGTTGCTGCTGTTACTCATAATCGGCCACTCGCATGCCTTTCATGTGAGATATCGCGGGATGCGAGAGCCGACGATGGTCGCGTCACATGCAGAATCGGCCCCCCAGACGAGACAGGACGACTGTCTGCGTAGATCATCCTCGATCCTCGGTTACGACTATGGAATGGCTGTCGTGAAACGTTGAAACGTGGGACTCCTGTCCGTCCTACGAACACGCGATCGGCTCGAAGAGATGTGAGCACTTTCTGCTGAGGTGACTGAAAATTTGTCGACTTGACTAACTCGATCATCCCGAGGGTTGTTTTGCGAGTTGGAGAGCTCTTAAGGTCGCAGTCGTAATATCGCGAACGCGCCGAGTTACGCAAAAGATGCATTATGAGATCACGAGTCGCACCGATGTCGCGGGAAGACAGGTGGGAGAAAGCTGCTTCAGCCGACGAGAATAACTTTGAGGAGGAGAAGGAAAAGGAGGAAAAGAGAGTGAAGTGAAGCGCAGTTTTTCTCAAGTAACGATACGGGAGATTAAAGGCTCCCTCGAGCGGACCGATTCATCGCGACTATCGTCACTTCGTATAATCGCCGGAGGAAAAGGACCGTCCGCTCTTTGATCCGCGTTAATCGCGAAATGAATTGAAACGCGGATGAGGCGCTGTTCCATTATGCACATCCAGGCGAGCCGCGTAAAGTCTCCCTCTCGATTCTCAGGATCGCATTCAGGGGGCCTACGTGGGTCAGACGGAAAAAAATACACCGTTATCGTCCTGGCGCATTCGCGCGCCACGATCGCGACGTATGACGTTCATATATTCACGTGGGAAAAAGCGCGGCCGCTTTTTCCGCAGAAGTAAAAATCCGCTTATCACGTAGGGGCACGCATGTAAATAAAATACCCCTCGTCCCTTCCCCGCCTCCTTATTTTTGCGACCGTGCTTGATCCCGATTGTGCGGTCATGATCCGCATTTCTGATTTCACCAATTCCCCTCTTTCTCTCTTCTCGCGACGTGCCCGCTCATCGATGCAAGAAAGGACAGCAAGGAGGGAGCGAAGGAGAGAGGGTGAGCATTGTCATTTGCATCGAGAGACGCAGTGACAATGGCCGCGACGTCGAGAGACGGGGTGTTCCCGTGCCCGATGACGGGGAAGAATGCGAGAGGCGGTGCGGATCGCAACTCGAGGCCAGCATTTAGCGGCGAGATTAATCGCGATCGTGTGCGCGGATAACACACGCGGGACAAAGTTGCGGAGGGGCGACGACAACGACGAGGAGCGCACAGGTGTATCACCGTGGAAATTTCAGGGGTTTAAATGGCACTCGACGAATTGGCCTCTCATAAAAACGGTGCCGCTTATGCGCGCAAGGTGCTCCGGGAACGACGATCTCGATTTCCGAGGATACGATACGATAGACTGTGCAAGCAGATGAGGAACATTTGTCGTTAAGATTTAAATTGTACTTGAAAATATCCCCGAGGGAGAAGTCGAAAGAGATCGCATTCTTTTGACAATACTGCGTATCATTCGTTAACGAGACGTTAATGAATTGTCGCATGTTTGCTCGAGTTATTTTATGACGATGAACGAAACGATAAATGAAACATCAAGATTCTACGAAGCCGTGGTCGTTTCCTTCTCGCAGACCTCGACATTGATCATACGCCTGAGACAATGACGTGGGAGAGACGCGATTATGCTAATTTCATTGAAACTTATAGTGAACATTATAGTCGAGGAATCTTACTTCAAGAAAGTCACTTGAATAGTCTATGCATATGTAAATAGTGCGGACGATGGAGTTTATTACGAAAATAAGGACAGAGGAAACAGAATCGGGAGACAGGATCGGTATCATCGAATAAATATAAACAGTTGATTAAAAGGTGTAAAAATAAAAAGCGAATAAACAAAGCGATGACGGAGGAAACGTTAATTTTTATCCAAATTCTCGAGAAAATTGCTTACACAGTTAAGTGACACAAAACCTAAAACACATTGTTTTATATGCGGCTAGTTACGATCGACTTTACGTAACGTGACGTGAAATATCGAAACTTAACGCGACGTGAAGCTTGCCAATGTCAAGTTTAGATATTGCGTTCCGTCAAGTCGGACTGTTCATATGACACTTTCAGCCAATCAACGTTATGCCAGGTTATGCCCGCCACAAAACTGAATTCTTCTTCGAAAAATGTCTCTCACACCAATGGTTCGTATTTCTTCTTCCACAGTTGAAGATACAAATACCCGGCCAAAATTAAATTTACAAATTGATAATGCCTCACAGCAGAATTCATTATTACGGCACGTTACGGTGATCGTAATATCAAATATAACCTCAAACGTCAAATTCACGTCACGTCACTTCACGTCCCGTTGCGTCCCGTTATTACGTGAAGTTCATCATAATCGCGCCCTTACAGTGAGAAGTAAAGCGCACACGCTTGCTTAATCCCTTGACATACAAATAAAACGTAACTTGATGCGTCCGAAAAATACTATTTAATTTCGCTCAACTAAACAGTGATGTGTAATCTTTACTAAACTCAAATATTGTTTGGTATGACATTCACCGTGCGAGATCCCTGCTATACCGAATACTTTCAATGTGTTTCTTCTGATATGTCGACGCTTTTTTGTTACTGGAATTGTTGAGAAGGTGGGAGGGTGGGGCATCTCGAACTATATAAACAAACGAGAATCGACGCACGAGTAAAGTACAACATAGTTTATTTATATACTGCACAGCGTCCGCTGAAAACAGCTTTTGACGAGTCAGACTCGTCCAAGTCTACAGTGGCACATGAAATGAATAGACGACCCTAACTCGTCATTGTATGTCAAGGGGTTAAAAATAAATATTTGTCACACTACAACGTGTCGGTATTTAACAGTGCATCTGTGACATATATTTTTCACGACCAAAGTATATTAATAAATACACTTGACAAGTTTGTGCAAAACATGAGCGAGCCAACACTCGCGGGAGATGACCGCGAGCGTCAGGTCACGTCTCTGCGACCCCGTATGATTATATGGACTGAGAAAATCGACGGGAGTTTTATGCCAGGGAAACGTCACGAGAGAGAAAGAGAGAAAGGGGGAGAGAGAGAGGGGGAGAGAGAGAGAGAGAGAGAGAGAGAGAGAGAAAGAGACATCGGGGTCGCGTTTAAGGGCCCGAGGATGCACCGGCTAATATAAACATTACACCGCTGGGACCGACTTGCCGCGGGGGGTTTTTATGTGGCGTGCGGCTCTCGTGTGGTGCATGCTTCAATGGGAAAATCATCGTATATTATATCGCGGTCGTGTAACTTGCGCATACTGACGTTACTGTCATATACAGGAGACCATATGCGATCATTTTCGCCGCGTGATCGACCAGCCTTCTCCTTCCTCTTCGAAAGGAAAAATAGTTCTCGTCATTTCTTCTTCTCTTTTTCATCGCGCTTTGATCCGCTTTATGAAGATACTATAAAAAAATATGAAAACGTCACGATAGATTCTGATAAATAACTGAAAATTTTGCCGCACAATATATATCGAAGATTGTTTTTTTTTCTTTTTCAGAGTAACTACACCCTCGAACACGCAGACCCTAACATCCCCCGGCCGACTAGGAGGCCCGATCGAGAGGCTGCTGATTGAGTTAGCATTATCGGTGCTTATCATGTTAGCACATTTCGCCGCGGACTCACCTAGATCACTGCCACCTGCGATCTCCACAAAAGCTCCCGGCGTTTTGGCCGCAGCTTACACAGCGGCTACACTCGTTTCCGTAAGTTCGATTACAAAAGTGATCATTTGTAACCTTTCGGCCAAGAGAGACCACTAAGATCAGGGAACTATAAGAATGATACAACCAATTGTACGGAATTATTTTTCGGATGATGAAATTTTCTTGAATGAAATAAAATTATTATTAATTATATTAATTATATTAATATTAAAATTAAATTAAATTGATATTAATTATAAAATTAAAATTTGTTGAAATACACACGCGTAATATATTTGTAATCTCATATAATCTAAACATAATATAGCTCAAACATAATATAATATAATGAGACTTACAAAAACTAAGCTACAAAATAATTAAATTTTTATGGATTGAGAAATTTCCTTTGTTCTCAGTTAGAACAAAGAATCCTCTCTCTTGTGTATTTCTTTTTCTTGTTGAATGGTCACATGTGGAAAAAAGAATTTCTCCTTCTGCCAACGTGCGACTAAATAAAGGAACAACGCACTGTGCGCGCTTTCTTCTTCCGCCGTGTATGTTCTCTCTCGCGCAATCGCTCTGTCCAAAAGCATCTCTCGAGCTCTTACCAATCGGGCCGACGTCCACATCTTTAAAGAGCACCTGCCGTTGAACGGGAGGAAGGGTGGGGTCGCGGAGAACGGTGGGCAGGAAGATGAAAGAAAGAACTTGATCCTGGACCCACCTGCTTCGGAACGAGTGTACAATGCGTCCTAAAACGAAAAATACCGAAACCACCGTTCTACACGCATTGAATGTCGATTCGCTCACATCAGCGAAATCGTACAAGTTCGCTCTGTTTGCAGTGCCAACTAAATTCTCCATCGCGAGTTCCCGGTCTAATCGCTCTTCCTTTATTGTCCGATTTTCAAACACACACACACACAAATATCGAAAGTATATCTTAAATAACAAAATTCTTCAATTCGCCCAACAATTTGACTATTATTTTTGATTCCACGACTTTTTAAGTACCTTCCAAAAATCGTCGATGTCAATTGTTCTCAAGAGTTCATCAACCTAACATCGCTCTCGGCATTTTTCAGAGTCCCTTCTTGAACCCAGCGCGCGCTCTAGGTCCGGCCTTCGTCATGAATCGCTGGGACAACCACTGGGTGTACTGGGTGGGCCCATTGTCGGGAGGCGCCGTGGCAGCTTTACTGCACGAGTACGTGCTGAGTCCCAAACGCAGCAAAGACCCGCGCGAGATGGACGACGGCGATAACTCGTCCATGAGATCCGACGAGGACACGTACGACGACCTCGACAAACCGAACGGACCCAAGTTCCCCAGCGCATATGCGACTTACCGCCCGGTCGCTGGCGCGTCTTCGTCGATCTACAGCGCACCTCCGTCCGCATTGGAGCGCGTCGAGTCGATCTATGGCGGCACCAAATCGTTATACTGCAAGTCACCGCCGTTGACGCGCGCCAATCTCAACCGCTCGCAGAGCGTCTACGCGAAATCAACGTCAGGCCCGCGGGACGGCTTGATGATCCCGAAGCCGGGGCCGTTGGTGCCGGCGCAGAGTCTGTATCCCATTCGTCTGGGTGGTCAGAACGGCTGCCAAAACGGGCTGGCTCGCGAGAACCAGCCCGTGACTGGAGCAGGTGGTGGTACTGGCGGCGGCGGCGGCAATGGCGGTGGTCCGCCTAGCCAGACCTCGCAGAACCACAACAGCACCAATCAGAACATGCAGAACCAACTGCAGCAATGTACACAGAGCATCTACGGCATCCGCGGCATCTCCACGAGTCTCAGTACGCGAGAGAACGGTATCTATGGATTGTCCACGGGCTCCAGCATCTACGGCCGCGCGCCGGCACCGTCTCCGGGCAGCCAAAATTCGCAGCAGTCCGCTCAACAAGGCGGTCAGTCCTCAGTGCAAAGCCACCCACCGCCGCCACCGCCGCAGCAGCAGCAGCAGCAGCAGCAGCAGCAACAGCAACAGCAACAGCAACAACAACAGCAGCAGCATCAGCATCAAAACGGGCCGTTATCGAGCGGTTCTGACAGCGGACCGAACACCAGACGGCCAGAAAGCATGTATGGCCACGTGTCAAGGCGCAGCGACGATTCCGCGTACGGCAGCTATCAGAGCTCGACGAGGGGCAATTACGGCAAGGTGCCTGGGCCACCGGGCCCATCCAGCGGCCCGCCGGGACCGCCGCAGTACCGCGATCAAGGTAGACCAAGCCCGGCCGGACTTCAGCAGAGTCAGAGCGCGCAGGGTAACTTCCAAAGAAACTCGCCGAATCCTCAATATTGACTATAGACTGAGAGTCGATGGATACTACGAAGATCGTTGTGCCATTGGCAAATCATTCCCGATCGTGGAGGATCCGCCGGCTGCCGGGTCGTTTTAATCCGCGCGGCAGAATATATTTTGATGATTTCGACGTAGAGTATAATCTCTAAGCGGTTAGGAAAATCTGTATATAGACTTTAATTAATGAATGTTTATAATTTTTCTACGTGTATCTGCTGCCATGATAATTCTTCCTGCATTGGAACGTGTCAAACTCGTTCAGGATATCGAATAATGAAAAAAATAATATAGACGAGAACGGTTTGCCGTTTATCTTGATGACTGCCAGCGTCTAAGTGATATAAAGTCGGACTTTGTTAATCTTTATAATGGCAGGCAAACGTGTTTACGATCATCTTATTTGCGAACTGATGTGACTGTATATAAAAATTTATAGATTCAAATTACGATTTATTATTTATGATAGAGTATCGAAGGTTGAATATATTCTCGGTAAAACGGAAGTATTTTTTGTACTTTCTGTTGTACAATAAGATCAATTTCCACATCTAATTCTCATTTTGTAATCAATTAGCAATAATTTAAAGCTGAGTAATTAGAAGATTTCTGTATAATTATCGATTTGACTAAGCTTTAGGTATAGCTTGTGCCAAATATTTTACAGAGAATATTCTTCAAGAAGCAATCGTTGTTATACGGATAATAATGCATGTCTTAAAAGTTACTTGTGAAAGTCATTCATGCACAATCTAAATTATTGGTACCATAAGTATGACACTATTATTCGTGTCCCGTGCATTCGTAGAAAATTCATCTATACTACAATCAATGAAGAGTAGTTTTATATGTATTAAGAGTGTGATTTAATTTTGAGGGTTTTGAAAGAGATGGTACTAACGTCAATTTTGTCAAAGACATCCCAATTACAGCTATTGTTTCTTAATGCTTTAAAAATGATTTACTAAACGTTTACATGATATAGGAAAGATTCACAAAGGAGGAAAACCGGTCCCATATCAATTATCGGAAAATGTTACATCGTGAACAGATTGAACGTTTGCATTTCGTTGATCGCCAGACAAAAAATAAAGAGTTTCTATATCGAATTGTTACTGACGATGAAAAATGGATCTATTTCGATAATCCCAAACGAAAAAAATCATGGGTTGATCTAAGCTAACCAGCAACATCCATTTCGAGGTGTAATATTCACAGTTCAAAAGTATTGCTATGTATTTGATGGGATTAAGAAAGTGTTATGTATTACGAACTGTTAAATCCGAATGAAATTGTCACTATTGATTGCTATCGATAACAATTATACGAATTGAAATGAGCATTGGACCAAAAACGATCACCAACTGCGAGTAAACGATGTGATGCAAAGTGATCTTCACGACAATGCTCGATTTCATGTTGCGTTATCAGTGAAGCAAATGCTGAAAATGAGAATACTGAGATGGAGCTGGAATGGGAAGTCTTTATCATTGCGGAATGCATCTCTTGCCAGAAAGATGGGAAAAAATTATAGAAAACGAAGGAAAATATTTTGATTAAGGTATTCGTCTGTATTATCCTATTTAAATAGATCAGTTTTTGAGAAAACTCAAAACTATTAGGTGCGCAACTAAGTTTCCGGGTTTCACACATGGATGGCGCTGACGACACATGTAGTCGACATACATGTCTGAAGTTGTGTTTTTTTAGCTTGGACATCTGTTAACAATAACTAGTCGTAATACCAATACATATCGCAACGCAAAAATATTTTTTCTAACAACGAAGATGTCGAGTTTTGTGCCAAATAAACAGCATTTGCGGGAAGCTTTGCTTTTCTGCTTTAACTTGAGAAAAAGTGCAGCTGAAGCACGTCGTTTGCTTGAGGAGGCCTACGGCGAACATGCACCATCGAAAACTACCTGTGAAGATTGGTTTGAACGCTTCAGAAGTGGCGATTTCGACACTGAGGACAAGGAGCGCTCCGGAAGACCAAAAACAATTGAGGACGCCGATCTGCAAGCGTTGGATGAAGATGATACGCAAACACAAGATCAACTTGCGGAGGCATTAAACATGACTCGCCGAGGTATTTCCAAACGTTTACATGCTATGGGAAAAATTCAAAAGGAAGGAAAATGGGTGCCGCATGAGTTGACGGACAAGTAAAGGTACTCAACTGTCACTCACCGCTTTTGATGAAACTTTGCCCACTTATAGAGCTATGGAAAATAATCGATACGTATTTTTTTTATCTGCGGAGAAGCAGTTCTAAGGGTGGAAACTACCCCTTATTTATATAGAGTGTTTTCGCATTAGAAGTGCTATCTTGTTGTTTATTCGAAAGGCTGAAAGGTTTCATAGGATTGTTGGGGTCGTTAAATTCGAATCTGACGTGAAAATTCAAAAATACAAAATAGCGGATCAAATATGACGTCTATGTCTCGTGAGTGGGACCATTTTTTCCATGTAAAATAAAATGATGTTGACGAAAATTACGATTTTTTTAGGTTTTCAAGGTCGCTCAATGAATAATGAAATACTGAAATATCAGGTGTAGTAAAAAGAAATCCATTATTTTTCCAATAGATGGCTTTAGTTATCTGTATCTCGCGTTGTATAAGTCCGATCGGGTTCCACTAGATGGTGTTAGAAAGATGAGATTTCGTACTAAAAAAACTTTTCTGACAGTTTTGTGATTAGTTGACTCAGTTTTGTTTGAGCGCGCGTCAAAGATGGACACTAGCAAAGAGAAAATACGCCATATTTTACAGTTTTTCTTCGATAAAGGCGAAAACGCAAGCCAGGCGGCTGAAAATGTGAATAGTGTTTATGGTCCTGATACAGCCTGTAACAGCCAATCACGCGCAATTTTGGTTTCGTCGATTCCGTTCCGGTAATTTCGATGTCAAAGATGCACCACGCACTGGAAGGCCAATTGTCGAAAATATCGATAAAATCATGGACATTGTCGAGTCCGACCGTCATGTAAGCACTGTTTCGATTGCCCAAGAGCTAAAGATTGCACAATAAACCGTTTGGAACCATTTGAATAAGGCTGGATACAAAAAGAAGCTCGATGTATGGGTGCCACACGAGTTAACGAAAAAAAACCTCATGGACCGAAGTTCCATCTGCGAATCGCTGCTGAATCGCAACAAAATCGACCAATTTCTGAAGCGGTTGGTCACTGGTGATGAAAAGTGGATCACTTACGACAACGTCAAGCGAAAACGGTCGTGGTCGAATCGCGGTGAGCCGGCGGAAACGGTGGCCAAGCCAGGATTGACGACCAGGAAGGTTTTGCTGTGTGTTTGGTGGGATTGGCAGGGAATTATCTACTATGAGCTGCTCCCCTACGGCAAAACTCTTAACTCGGAACTGTACTGTCAACAATTAGACCATCTGAAGGAAGCAATCGCCCAGAAGCGGCCAGCTTTGGCCAATAGGAGAGGAATTGTGTTCCATCAGGACAACGCCAGGCCACACACATCGATAGTAACTCGCCAGAAGCTCCGGGAGCTTGGTTGGGAGGTTCTTATGCATCCACCTTATAGTCCGGACCTGGCACCAAGTGATTACCATCTGTTCCTGTCCATGGCGAATAATTTTGCTGGTGAAAAATTCGCTTCAAGAGAGGCTTGTGAAAATCGACTGTCTCAATTTTTTGCCAATAGGGACGAGGGCTTCTATGAGAGAGTCATAATGAAATTACCTTCAAAATGGCAACAAGTTATCGAACAAAACGGCGCATATTTGATCTAAATCGGATCATTCTAACTATGGTAATTAAAGCCTTCAATTTCATGCAAAAATAATGGATTTCTTTTTACTACACCTGATATATGGAACATTTATTCTCAATAGATTCATTTAATGTTAGGTGAAATAACAGCAAATTCCATGTAAGTTGCCTGAAGACATTTCATATGTACGTATAAAAACAAATGACAAACAGTAATACTAAAAATAGTGAAAACAATGTGATTTCCCTTATACATGTAAAAAATCGTAATTTTCGTCGACATCATTTTAATTTACATGGAAAAAATGGTCCCACTCACGAAACATAGACGCCATATTTGATCCGCCATTTTGTATTTTTGAATTTTCACGTCAGATTCGAATTTAGCGACCCCAAAAATCCCATGAAACTTTTCAGCCTTTCGAATAAACAACAAGATAGCACTTCTAACGCGGAAACACTATATAAATAAGGGATAGTTTCCACCCTTAAAACTGCTTCTCCGCAGATGAAAAAAAAATACGTGTCGATTATTTTCCGTAACTCTATAAGTGGGCAAAGTTTCATCAAAAGCGGTGAGTGACAGTTGGGTACCTTTACTTGTGAGAGACAGATGGAAAATTGAAGAGCCACTTCCGAAATTTTGCTTTTTTGGCGGCATGAAAGAAAGAGTTTCCATCGAATGGTTACTGGCGATGAGAAGTGGATATATTTTGAGAATCCCAAACGCAAAAAATCGTGGCTTTCACCTGGCGGAGCATCAATATCGACGGCACGGCCAAATCGCTTCGGAAAGAAGACAATGCTTTGCGTTTGGTGGGACTAGAAAAGAATCGTGTACTATAAGCTACTGGAAAGAAGCCGGGCGAAACTGTGAATGGGCATCGCTATCGACAACAACTGATCAATTTGAACCATGTATTGCTCGAAAAACGACCAGAATGGGACACGAGACACGAACGAGTGATATTGCAGCACGACAACGCTCCGTGCCATCGCACTTCCATCGTCCAGGACACCATCAAAACGCTGAAATGGGATCTGCTACCGCACCCGCCGTATTCGCCAGATCTGGCCCCTTCCGATTATCACTTGTTCCGGTCGATGGCGCATGGTTTGGCTGGGCAATACTTGGCCAATTTCGAAGAAGTACAAAATTGGTTGGATGAATGGTTTCGGTTCAAAGACGCGTCGTTTTATCGTCGTTTTATCGTCGCGGTGTTCATGTATTGCCACAGAGATGGCAAAAATGTGTAGCTAGCGAGGGACGATACTTTGAATAAACCATTTTTGTATTTCTCTTGAAATTTTCCATTTTTCATTAATCAAAAAAATTTAGCGGAAACTTAGTTGCGCACCTAGTAAATTACATTGCTGATAAAAATTATAAACGAAGTAAATGTTAATACTCAAACATTTAAGGTATTATGTAATATATTATATAAAAAACGGTAAAGTAAATAAATGCGTTGGGCCATAGAAATTACCCTGTAAAGCGTTTGTATATATTATATGTATTTATTAATTTCTGTACCCACGTGATAATTGTAAGTTTTGATAAATATCATTCGCTTATATACACGCATTTCTATTATATACATATTAGATATGAGCTAATATTAGTATAATGTAGTATATATTAGAGAGTCATGTGACAATAAATGTATTTACAAAGATACTGCAATATGTTATCGTCCTATTTGCACTAATCAACCGCGACGATATACGGCTATCAAGAAACACGATCATGTCTCGCGCCAAGTTCACGCGCAGCAACAGTGAAGCGGACCGTGTATCTACAGGGTGGTCCATTTTAATCGATAATCGGAAATATTTCGTCAGATAAGCCAGATCGCGAAAAATATTTCAAACAAAAGTTGTAGGGTTCAGAGGGGGACAGCTGACGATGACCTTGGCTTGACCTTGGATTGTTGTTTAAAGATCACGTAAAGGTCAACTTTAAAATCCTAAATAGAATCTTGCATTTTCTATTACATATTCTTGTAGCCTTTGTCGAGACATTTTCAAAACACTATCTACTTTTGTCTTTTGCGTAAGCCATTCCCAAGATAAGAAGCTTCAAAATTGACATACCGCCGGTATTCGCATTACCCGATGTACACCGCGGAAAAGTTGCTTGGTTAGATTTGTACATCATAGTAGCCCTAAAAAGGGCCGATTTTGTTTGTATGTATGTATGTGGGGGGAGGGGGAGGGGAGCTCATTCATCATAAATATTTGAAAACGCCGTCATCGACAGCTCGGCACATCTAGAACTCGCTTTTCGAAACTTTCGACGAGTTGCAAAAGAACGTTTGCTGGAATCACTCGACACGCATTTCTGATGCGATCCATCATATCCTCCCGCGTCGTTGGTGGTGGACGAAACACTACGTCTTTCAAAAATCCCCGCAGATAAAAATCCGGAGGAGTAAGGTCGGGTGATCTTGGTGGCCAAATTGGACCATCCTGACCTATCCATCGATAAGGGAAAGTGGCATCGAGTGATTCCCGAAGGAAAGTAACGTAAGTAAACTAAAGAAATAAACTATTATGTACAAATCCGACCGAGCAACCTCCCCGCGGTGTACATCGAGTAATGCGAATGCCGACGGTATGTCAATTTTGAAGTTTCATATCTTGAGAACAGCTTATGCAAAAGACAAAAGTAGGTAGTATTTTGAAAACGTCTCGACAAGGGCTATAAAAATATGCAATAAAAAGTGGGGAGTTCTATTTAGGATTTTAAAGTTGACCTTTACGTGACCTTCAAACGACACTCCAAGGTCAAGCTAAGGTCACCGTCAGATATCCCCCTTTGAACCCTACAACTTTTGTTTGAAATTTTTTCGCGATCTGGCTTATCTGACGAAATATTTCCGATTATCGATTAAAATGGACCACCCTCCTCTATATGCGACGCGTCTAGTTAGAAAACATCGCCGATATCGAATCTCAATAACGACGGCTAAATGGGTTGATTTTACATTAGGTTTAATCGATAGCTTGGGATCGAATTATATAATAAAAGTATTTTTATTTTTGCTCTACGTACTCTAGAATCAGAAATATTACGATGTATAGTGTCAATGTGAAAATTTTTAAATAAGAAACGACGTCGCCGTCGTCGGAGTTGTCCTTTTCCAATTCCTAACATAACACATCACTCAATAAGTTTGTAGGATGACATATAAATGGCACTACTATTGACAAATCCATATGATTTTTAGGAAGTACTAACCTTCAAATGATACGTGTCAAAATTTCATGACAATCGGACGTTTAGTTCACAAGTTACAATGGTTTTAGTGACGCACGACGTCGACTCGTTTTAGCAACGCTTTAGTTTCGGCAATCACTTCTTCATTGGAGCCAAATCTCTTTCCCTGGAGCTTTCCCTGCCGATTTGACTCTGGAGTGGTGGATCCATGTTTCATCCATTGTCACATACCGCATCAAAAAATCCTTTTTATTGTGCTGAAACAGCTCCAAACAGCCCGCTGAATCGTCGACGCGTTACTAAACGAGTCGACGTTGTGCTAAAACCACTGTATACCTCGTCTACAATAGAAGTCATAGAGTCGTAAGTCGTAGAAATTGACCAATCATAGCCCGGTAAGAGAAAAATAATCGACCGCGATTGGTCAATTTGTACGACTTACGACTCTATGACTTCTATTGTAGACAAGGTATAAAGCCAGTGACACACGGTGCTTGTTTTCGTGCTGGATAAAAATACTGCGTTCTGATTGGTGCATTTCCATCCATCTTCAGAAATGTACCAATCAGAACGCAGTATTTTCATCTAGCAAGCAATCCAGCACGAAAACAAGCACCGTGTGCCACTGGGTTAACTTGTGAACTAAACGTTCGATTGTCATGAAATTTTGACACGTATCATTTGAAGGTTAATACTTCCTAAAAATCATATGGATTTGTCAATAGTAGCGCCATTTATATGTCATCCTACGAACTTATTGAGTGACGTGGTATTAGTAGCGCTTACAGTCAATAATGCGCAAAAAGTATGTACACTAAAGGCTCGTCTACATTAGCTGTAAGAGTAAGGCTGTAAGGTTGCAAGACACGAAATGAAATATTTTCATTCGCTGACAGCTTACGTTACAGCCTTCAGAGGCAGGTATGTGGTCTGTTCTTTGTAGCTGCACTGTTGAACTGGTGCAATAAGTTAAAGTGAGACAAATATAGGTTTTCTATATAGGTAGAGCAGATCAGTGGTGCGATTCTGTAACTCGTTATTGGAGTTAACGACACTTTCGTTATCGTTGCGCAGCTTTTGTATACCGTAGAAAAGCTGCGCAACAATAACGAAACTGTCGTTAACTCCAATAACGAATTACAGAATCGTGGTGCAGTGGTGCGATTCTGTAACTCGTTATTGGAGTTAACGACAGTTTCGTTATTGTTGCGCAGCTTTTCTACGGTATACAAAAGCTGCGCAACGATAACGAAAGTGTCGTTAACTCCAATAACGAGTTACAGAATCGCAGCACAGGTGTCCCTCGGCGATGTCGTATACGCCTGTAAAACAATCGAAAGCGATGACAGGCATATACGCATATGGGCGTACTGTACAGCGCGAGAGAAACGAAGAAGTGGTGGGAGACGTTGCATTCTTATCGCACGTCGCACGATCGAGAGAGAAAGCATTACCAGACGTGATACGGTTAATGGTGTCTCCAATAGCTGTCTCATTCACTCTATGCTTGAATGCAGGGCATATGAGTGAGATAGCTATAGAGACACCGCGCTGTCTCTATAGGTGTCCCGCTCGCTCTAATAGCCGTGTATCGCGCTTTCCTCTTTTCTTCTTAGCAGAAATTCAGGTAATTTCACTGGTAAATTGAATGATGAAAAAACTAAACTCACAAAGCATGTACAAAATGATACATCATGCAACTCTCCCTATACTGGTTCCATTATTTCAACAAATAGCCAACTAAACAGTTCAAATAAAACATTAATAAGTGATGTTATTAATTTGTCTAAAGAAATTTTATTGAAAAATAAAGCAGAGGTTGGCCCGAAGTTACCTGTTCCTGAGCAGGAATATAACATTGATACAGAAGGTAATATAGCATTTGATGAGAAGGCCATTGAATACCTCTGTGGAAGACGAGGTGTAAAACGTAAAGATAGAGAAATTGACGAAGCAAACATAATTGAGATAAATGGAGAGGATATAAAACCAGACGAAAGAGAGTGGCTGGTAAAGGCATTAACAGAAGAACCTGTACAAAGGCCAGTTTCTATGCAGAATTGTGGAATCAACTCTCAATCCAAGAAGCATCAAATTACTGGAATTAAAAAATCAGTGGTCTCAAAATAGAATGGCATGAGAACAAACAAAATCAAAATATGGTTTTTAAAACCATATGAATATATGTGTATGTATAAGTGTCTCTTAAATATAGAATTTTATTTGTAACTCAAATTATAGAATTTTATTTGTTACTCAAATTATATAATTTTATTTGTAACTCAAATTATATAATGTTACTTGTAACTCAAATTATTACTAACAATTGTCGATAATACTTGAGAAAATAGAACGTTTTATTGATATATTTAAGGTACAATTGAAGCCCATATTCAATCATTCATCCTTCCAAATATTTGTCTTTCTAACTGCTCAAATTCTTTTCTTTTGTTTTCCAGCATTAATTTAGCTCCTGCTAAATTAGGTGGTAAATCACGATATGGATCCAAAAATTGCTTAATGTTAGCTAGGTTACCCAACAATTCCAAATATAGTTTATATTTTTCTATTATCTTTTCAGGATAAATCTCCTCAACCTCCATATCAGTTAAGTCAGATTCTAATCTTTTTTCAGTTTCCTGATATTCTTTCAATTTTGCAGACAAAAACATCATGTTACAGTATAAATCATCATTCTTGCAAGTGATGGTTGTGTTCTCAAGCGAATGAGTTGAGTTTTCCAGATAACTTAATTTCTTCAACAATCTTGTAAGTGTTCTATGTATTTCATTATACCTTCGGAACAGTTTCTTCTCTTCTTGCTGTCGAGCTTTCTCCTCTATAATCCTACGTTCTTTAGTTACACACATAGCTGTCTCATCAAATTCAAGAACCTTCTCAACCTTCATAATAGAAGCCACTCTGTCTAAACCTTCTTTTATATCATTAGGTAATGTCTTAATTTCAAGGTTTATCTTGGACAAAAAACTTATTATTTCCTTAGTAAGCGCAATATGTTCCTGATCTGTCTCCATGATAGCCTTTGATAAATGTCGCATTTCCACATTATGATGATTTGAGGTCTCAAAGACTGAGTCATTATGCGAAAATGATGACCCCTGTTGCTAGTAAATATATATTAATTGTTAATTAATACATAGTCACTCGACATCACATTATCTTTTCTAACTATTAATAATTCTTACCTCACTATTACTATCCATTGTATCACGTTACACTCCAAATACAATCAACTGATTATTGTTCGTTACTAACGTTATTTCATTGATTCAATTTAAGTTTACTTTTTGAGCAACTACATTCACCTCGAGAATACATGAAGAGAGTAGAAGCGCCAGAGTTGTATGATTAGCTACTTTGATAGATTGGCATTATAAAATATAATTTCTAAATAATTCTAGGAAGCCTGATTGTAAAATTCAGATAATAATTTTTTGACAACTATGCAAAGAAAACGTCAAAATAGATTGATCAATAAATATAACGGTTGTGAGAAACAAAACAAATTATAAGTAGCGCGGGAACTTTCTGTCGGAAAGTGTTGGTCTGTTCTTTTTAGCTGCACTGCGGAACTAGTGCAATAAGTTAGAATGAGACAACTATATTTTTTTTCACTTTAACTTATTGCACCAGTTCAGTAGTGCAGCTAAAAAGAACAGACCATGTGACTGCGTTCTGATATTCACTACCAGCGCTGAAAATCTATAGCATACATGACACAAACTATATATTTTCAATATTGATAGTGAAATTCGGAACGTAGCCTATAGTCCATCTACATAAAGGCCATCACACGTCGAAAAATTTTAACCGTAACCGTAAGGTTGTAAGAAAACTGACCAATCACAGTCGATCCTTTCTTTTGTGACGTTATAATAATCGACTGTGATTGGTCAGTTTTCTTACAACCTTACGGTTACGGTTAAAATTTTTCTACGTGTGATGGCCCTTAAGGCTCGTCTACATTAGCTGTAAGAGTAAGGCTGTAAGGCAGTAACTTAAGCTGTCAGCGAATGAAAATATTTCATTTCGTGTCTTGCAACCTTACAGCCTTACTCTTACAGCTAATGTAGACGAGCCTTATGATTTCTATTGTAGACGAGGTATAAGGACCAATAGTTAAAGCCAACGGCACACGGTGCTTGTTTTCATGCTGGATTGCTTGCTGGATGAAAATATTGCGTTGTGATTGGTACATTTCCGAAGATGGATGGAAATGCACCAATCAGAACGCATAAATTTCATCCAGCAAGTAAAGCTAAGACTCCATGCATGCGGTGAGCTGCGGCAAATGCTGCGGTGACCAATCAGGAGGGAGGCGCAAGTCCGGTTGCGGCAAGCTCCGGCATGCGTCTGTCTCCTGATTGGTCACCGCAGCCGTTTGCCGGAGCTCACCGCATGCATAGAGTCTTAGCTTAATCCAGCACGAAAACAAGCACCGTGTGCCGCTGACTTTATTCTTATATTTCTTGTCCGTCGATAAATTAGGTTTTCAAAATCTTCATCTTTAGATGAAGATAATATGTATTCTAAAGCCATATCTCTTTGGTGTTCAAACGTTCAAAATATTTGTCAACTGAACTCCAAAACCGGGATAGTCATAAATTTTTTTCTCATATTGATGGTACTGCAGTGTTAAACTTCGTTTAAATTCATTAAACGCCCAAAGTTTTGGGTTTAACTTTAACTGTGAGAAATCAAAGTTAAACATGGTTTAAGGCAGTTGTGGAATGCAATTTTTCGCAATTTTCTAAACTAGGATTAACGAGTTAAACTTCATTTACAGTAAGTTGTGGAACCGGGCCTAAGCGCTCAGTGAGCGATTTGTTTTCTGAACGCAACCATTCTTCTCGAATCGAGATGCGTTCCGAAAGTTGCAAGAAAACGAGCACTTATTGTTATGTCTATGACCGAACACATATGGGCCAATCTATTCGAGTCGAGAACTTTGAGATTTGGAATCATGTTGTTCATCAATTTCCTTGTTATAATTTGTATAATAACAATATCTACGGCACACAAATTAAATGTACCTCGAGTTTTACTACCTGTATTCAATAATTTTGCTGTAAATTTCACGCTAGAAGTAACGGATGATGGCTGTTACAAATGGTAATTATTATTGTTTATCACATAAAACTATCACGTTATGATACATTATTGCTAAATCGTAATAAGATGAAGTTATATAAATGCATTACCACATTTGTACATAGTGAAAACTGACTTTTTCATTACAAAGTATACTACCGGTATTACCATAACCTTTACCGTGTCTATGTATGTCTCAATGATATCCACATTTAATGTTGATCAGTGCTTGCAGTACTTGAGTACTTTTAATTAGATTATAATGATATAAATTATATAGGTTTTTGCTTACATTTGTCCTGAATTTAAGTAGTAATAATTTTCTATATCTTCTTTCAAATTTCTTCTAGGTCTTCTTCTCGTTCGGACATCATACAATTGATTCCTGTAAATGAAAATTTTGAAAGAACATGCTCCTCAGCAGTATTAATTCAAACTATAACAAGAGAACCAACAAGGAATACTGCTATTGTATTAGCTGAGGATATCAATACTGGTTACTTTTTACGATGTGATGTCATAGTAGATGCGATTTTTTCCTTAAATCTTACTACTACTACAAGAGAATTATATATTGAGGATATACCTGAAGCATTTGAAGTACGAGCATATGATGAACAAGGTAATATATATATTTAAGTATGTTTACTATATAAAAGAAATAGATTTAGTTCTTTAAACATATAGCTATACTTTGGAACCAACTTTGTATAGATATGTAAATAATTACACAGGAAACCAGTTTACAACTTTAGCTGGTATAGAATTTCTATGGAAAATTGGTGATGCTGATAAACGTATACCATCTGATACTAAATCTACAAGTAAGGTATTGCGTTTCATGACTTATGAAGAGTCACAGTATGAACGACCTATTAGTGTGGCTGCTTTGGACAGTATTGGTAAAAGGGGTCATATTGTTCTTATAGAAGGCATCAGGACTGGTACAGCTAAGGTAAATTTATATTTTAATAAGACTAAATAACATATTAAGTAACGTTAATGTCTCTAAATATCTTTTATACATTAATAATTTCTGCGAATAATTTTTTTATGAAAAAATTCTATTGTAGGTATCTGTCAAATTGCCACACTCAGAATACAGGCATGTTCCACCCATAGAACTTGAATTAATTGTTATTGCTAACTTAATTATTATACCACCAGAAATAACAATAATGGCTTATGACAGTTTCAAATACAAGATAATGCATGTAAGTTTGATTTAATAAATTAATCATGTGCTATTATCATCAGGAATTTAGGTCATCAGGAAATGATCCAGTAATCAAAAGATCAAGAAAGGAAAAGAAAACTGCATATCATTCTATTTGATATTTGCATCAGTGTTTTTTCATTAAATTTTCATAATTTTTAGTTAGAGCTATTACATTTTCATGATTTTTAATTATATATTTTGTTTATCATTTCCTCTACTCTTAATTGTGTATTTTATTCTTGCCATTTTGTGCTCGTCATTTTATGCTTGTCATTCATGCACTTACATAAGCTTCTACATTCTCAGACTCGTCAAGGACGGTTAGAAGAAATTAGCCTGCCTTTGAGCCAATATTATCTAAAGGCTGAGAATTCTGATATACTTGAAATCGATAATAATTACGATCTCGCATATGCTCGTAAAATGGGACGTACGAAGGTGTTTTTACACGATAAAAATGTTCGCGAAGAATATTCGGTTATTCTACCTTCCGCCACAGTTAACGTACACGAAGTAGTCAAGATGTCTCTTTCGGTTCTGCCGAATAGAAATTGGGGATTGGTGTTAGGTCACACTCATGAGATCGTCGTTGAACTGTATGATAGGTATGCATGTTATCTTGTAATGCTGCTTATCGTATAATTTATTCCTCGTTTTCCCTATATTTACATAATTCTTGTTACATCGCAATGTATATATTACTCGTAGCAAGGACCATAAATTCTATATCGGAGAAGGTGTGGATGTCTTCATGAAGATAGACGAACAATATTTCAAGCCTAGATTGATAACGCAAAATGGCACTTACGTTGTTGGAGTGCCGATTACCTGCGGAACGATGACTGTAGAAGCAACATTGCGCGGTATAATTGACGAACGCGGCAGAAGAATCACGTCTATGCCACAGCTTTTCACGACGGCTGAATTACTGATACACGAACCGGTGAAAGTTCATCCTCGCGTCTTGGCTATCCCATGGGACGCTGCTAACAAATCTAGGTGATTATTTTTCTATGTCATATTTTTTATACATTTTCAGAGATCTTTGCTACGGCCATATTTGTATCATTATTAGTATCATTATTATTTGTATCATCATCTATATTAGAGGAGATTTATGAGCCGGTTTTTATGTTATCAAACGCGTGAACTGTTACTTTTTTTCATATTGGTTTTCAACCGCATAATACGATCGTGAAAACGCAAGTAACGAGATATTAAAAAGTCGAAAATTCTAAAAATCGTAAAAGTTACGGCAAATAGATTCCGCCTCCTGCTGCGATTTACCGTTGCATTTCCGTTTCAGATTTGATATAACATTGAAGTCGAACGGTGGAGACGGCTCGTACGTTTGGTCTAGTAGACAACCATCGATAGTGGCCGTCTCCCAGAACGGTGGTATCAGAATTCTGTCGGCAGGCTCGGCCGAGGTGGTCGTCGCGATGGCGAGGAATCAATATAACAAGGACATCGCCAAGATCTATGTGCTGCCGCCCTCGAAGCTGAAGATCATCGAGTACAACATGGAGGCGGCTGTGGGAGAACAAATTCACCTACATGTCGCGTTATACGGCAGACTGGTCAACGGCTCGGACGTCAAGGAGATACCCTTCAGCGATTGCGAAGATGTCCACTTCGACGTGCACATACCGGGCGGGAATTTCGTGCAGGATTACAACAAAGACGTGCAACCAGTTGGAGCCGCTTGTGCCATAATAACGGTCACCAATCACTGTTGTGTCGGCAAATCCGACATCACCGTAGCTTACAACGTGAACGAGAATAATGCCTATCGGTATCTGATGGATAACGTTACCTTGTCAGCGTACGAGCCGCTCGTGGCGATATACCTGGAAAACAAAGAAACTTTACTTGCGTTGGGCTCCTCGCGGAACGTGGTGTTCAAGGGCGGGCCGCTACCGTGGACCAACAGGTCTCGAGATTATTTGCGGGAGATACACTTGTCCAATGAGGAGATCGTTCAAGTATTGGACGAGGACCCATCGAATGTTGGATCATTCGATTGGACAGTCTTCAAGGTGATCTGCAAGGCCTTAGGCAAAAGCACGCTAACGTACACGGTGTCGAATGTGCCTCTATTTCCCAACTGCAAGCATAATCGCGCGTCAGAAACGATCGAGGTGACTTGCGGTAAGCCGAGATATATGTACCTGCAGCCTGAGTTCAAGGACAGTAAGAAATGCCCGATCAGCCCAAACACAGACAAGATCATCGCGCACAGCGGCAAGCACCTGAAGATCTCGGTAGTCGTCAAGGACGAAGACGGTAGACGTTTCGACAACGTTACGAGTCTGAGTATAGAATGGCACTTGGAGCCATCGAACAGCGGCTTCGTCGAAGCACCGTCCAAAACGATAGAGCAGACATACACCGACATGAATGTGATCTTGCCGAAGAGTCATTATCAGAACGTTGTCTTCAAGAGATACTACGGTACTCTCAAGGTCTTTGCGACCGCCACTGGTTATCAGAAACATATCCTCAACCGGCTAAAAATCACACCGGAGTGGCCGCCATTTCCGATCGAGAACAAAAAGGGCATACTGGAGACTCCGCTGATAGAAGCTTCCTTGGAGGCGACCCTAGTGAACGACACCATCGTCCATCCGGATAAACTGATGATCTTAAACGACCCGACAAGCATATCCTACTTGCAAGTCAGCCAAGGTTCCGGTTACTATGAATTCGTGCTGAGCTCAGACGAGATCGCCGACATCCGGTACTTGGACACGACACGAACGGTCAGTGTGATCCCTAGGAAACCGGGTATACTACATATGACGTTAGTGGACCTGTGTCTGCCATCTAAGCCGGCGGAGGTGGCCGTTGAAGTGCAACAGCTCGCCATGATCGAGGTGGACACCGTAAGCAAGATCGAGAGAGGCAAATGCGTGACAGCAGCACTCAGGTTGTACGATACGAATGGTCACCTGGTGAGGCTGCCATCGCAGAGCGCGTTGGCCTTCCACGTGGACACCGACAACAAGCATATCGAGATCAAGCAGTTGCCTGTGAACGAACAAGGTTCAGCGCCGTATGAGCGGATTCTCTACAAGATCCACGGCGTGTCAGAAGGTGAAAGTCGAGTGACTTTCATGAGGAAAGGCGGCATACGGAGCGACCCGGTCACCGTGCAGGTGTTCTTACCGCTGCGGGTACAACCGCGTAACTTGACAATCCTCATTGGCACCATCTACCAGGTGCAGACAGTCGGTGGGCCACCTAATGCTGAAGTCGAGTTTTCGACCGAGAGCGGCAACGTGTTGCACATCGACTGCAACGGCATCTTCGAGGGCAGGTCGGCGGGTAAGACGAAGGTGTATGTGCAAGCCGTCGGCTTTGATGCCCGCGGCAACAAAGTAGTCTACTCGCAGGATCAAGCAGATATACACGTACTACACCTCGAGGACGTGAAGATCTCGACTCCTGTGGACAGGGTGAAAGCGGGCGCCATGTTTCCCATCTGGGCCTTCGGCATACCCGACTATCTCACGCCGCTCATCATCGGTTCCATGCAACTACCGCTGAGTTTCACATGGTCGTCGAGCGACCTCAGCTTACTGACTTTGCACAACATGTACGAAGGCACCGGGATCAATATTAGGTACCAGAATCAAGTATCGCTGAGAGCGAAGGCGCTCAGGCCGGGTTTGGCGACGATCTACTTGAACGTCACCATGCCCTGCAATATGTTGTCCGGCTGCAAGAACGACGTCATCTACACCACGTTTGTGAAGATCGAAATCTTTGAGGAGCTGCGACTGATCAATCCGCCGTCTTCGTGGGACGCCTCGCCGATATTCATGTCACCGAACTCCGTCTTGCAGCTGCGGACGAACCGCGATAAACACGCTACGACGACCTACAAGATCCTATCGAGTGCTTATGGTAACGAGACAGCGAATTCACGCGTCTTAACAGCCGTCACGAAGACTGACGTGAGCGTCGACAAGAGCGGAGTCGTGAAGTCTGGTGATAACTTCGGCCGAACGGTCATTTCCATTACGAGTTCGGAAGCATACAACAAGCAAACTATGACGCTTGTTGTCGAGGTACATGTTCCGTCCTGGACTTTCTGACTTCTTTCACTCGAACATATTCTCCAGTATCCTGAAAACGAAAGGATGAACGTGTTCATCTCTCGGGTATTTAATGATAAAAGTCTCTTAGAACTTGTAACTGTTACAGGTCAAACCTATCCACTATATGATGTTGTCTTTGAAATCCAACTTGCGAATACGAAACGACGAAGAGCTGAATATGCTGCCAAAAGGAATGGAACTGGATTACGTAGTCGAATATTACGACAATGTCGGCAATAAATTCGACGCGGCTGAGACTAGCATCAAGGCTATGCTGAACCGCGTCGATTTAGCGTTGTTCGTCACGGGTCCGGACAATGTCATCACCGCTAAATTCCTGGAAAATGGCGAGCTAGTTATGAAAGCTTACAACGAAAAGAACCCGAACGGAATGTTCGATTACGTCCATATGATGATCGGCGATATTGTGTTTCCGACGAAGGTATTCTCGCGCGTTTGATCGATCAAGACAAAGGTTTAAGTTGCTCCAAGCGTTTAATTGCTCTGTGTTAGATTAGTAAAAACTTAGATTGACTTCTTTATGTAAATAGTTACACGTTGTTATTTTATTATTTGTTAGTTTCTTTTATATATCGACTTGTATGAGTATAAAATGAAATCGGTAACATTTGTAATATATTTTATAGACCACTCTAACTGTTGGCGATATAGTGTGCTTCTCGATGCCTCTTCTCTCATCCGACGGAGATCCAGGATATTGGCAGTCTTCTGTTCCTGATGTACTACTGATAGACCCAATTACAGGAATTGGTCGCGCACGAAGTGCCGGATATGCCATCGTGAAGCATAGTCTTGCCACGCACGTGCAAAGCGAGATAGAAGTTGACATTCTACCGATTTCGCGGGTAATTGCGATTGAATGATACCGACAAATGTGTGATCGTCTTATTACCCTGATAATACAGATTGTATATCTAATATACGATTCATTATTATAAAATAACGTTATACGCAGGTATCCATTGTGCCTTTGAGAGGAAGAAATATCACTGGTACGGAGACATTTAACGTGCCGTTGGTGCTGAAAAGCAAGGACGAAGAGATCAAGGAAAATAACGTCTTAGCGAGAGGTCTGGGCGGCTGCCGGACGTTGTCGTCGTTTGCGCTGAATGCATTTCCCTATACTTGCAACATTCAGTTCGTGTCGTCGACCATGTCGCTTAATGTGAAAGACCTATTTCTCGTGAAGCAAAGATTCGACATTGTAACAGGTCTGTATAACGTCACGCATGCGGTTAACATGTTCGTTTTCCCGTCCTTTTCTTCAGACGTAATCTGAGCAATGTGTCCCAACGTAATTCGAGAACTGTGTTATGAGTAAGTCGTAAAACAAGTTGCTCGTAATAATTTTCTTCTCTTCGTTGCCACAGGCTTTTATTATTGCGACATTATACCGATGATCTCTCCGTCTATAACCACCAGCACACTGGTGAGTCGCATTCAAATCAAAGCCCAGAGCCGGGACATCGAATCGACAGCGTTGGAACTCATTTACTTGCCACCTATGTATGTCAATGTCAAAGAAGTTACGTTCGTCGTCACTCAAAATCAAGCTGCGCCTACTGCGACATTCGAGGTGTATGGATTGCCGTCGGTATTGGAGCATCTCACGGTAGGTCGCGTATATTTCATTCAATTATATTCAGTTCTGGAATTCCTTTAAGTCACGCGCTACCGTGTTCCCGATTAGATCGATATACCCGAGGGTATAACCATCACCTGGCAGCAGTACATTTCCAAATCTGTGATACAATATAAACTACGTTTGATACGTAGTCAGGATGAGATTCAGGGGCAAAAAGTGTTCGTCGCAAATGACCTGACTAAGCAAAACATATCTGTAAGTGATCTAAATAGGCGTCTTCAACAAACATCGTGAATAATTATCATCATGGCATTGCTTCGATTGCTTCTAGCTTTACATACGTATGTCGAGGTACAGCAACTTTATTCCTCTATATGGAATACAATGGGTGGATTACATATATTTCCATAGATATACATTGGGAACCTTCTTCGTCATCGCGATTACGATTTTCTATGGTAAGACCGAATTTCATTAAACCTCTCAGAAGCAGAACAGATTAATTCTATTTTGTGTAAATTTCGAATTTTTAGTACCAGAGTACACAGTCAGCATTTCGCTTTCCAAAACTTGAAGTTGAAATAGAAACTGAAGCAGAAACTGAATTGATTGAAACAGACATTTACAAGTTGATCAATTTGGCTTCTGAGCAGTTCTTCGATACATTTGATGGTTGTAGAACATTAACATTATTAACATATGGCTTCTGTATTTTTTCAGTATGGAAGAACAAGGTGGCGAATATGAACTTGACTGTCAGGAATAGAAGCATCTTCGGTATGATATATTTAATTCACAAGGTTTCTTTCTATCTTCTCTCCTTCTTTCTCTCTTTATGAAACACTTTGTTATGTTTTACTCATTTTATTCTTTTCGCAGCCGACAGGTCTCCATTGATGATGAGAAAAGGCGGCGGTGTCCCGTGTACAAGTACGTCGACTACCTTCAGCACGTCCAGCCCGCGATCTACGCACTCTACGCCGCCGAGCCCGTTCTCGGCGTTCGAACGTAGTCAATTTGGTGAGAGAACAGTCTACGGTGACCCGCGTGGTTTCAGTACCATACGATAGAAGAAGCATGGAAAAGGGTATATAAAATAGAATTCACAGATCTCGGATGGTCGACGAAGACACTTCTTAAAGAGTTCACTACGGTATTAACTTTGAAAAATTGTTACAATGATTCATGATAGACGTGATAAACAGATAGTGCTATTGACTGACTGTTTGAACCAGATGATCTTTGCGTTCAAAGCGATAAAGCGAGTATGTACATATGTCATATATATACTGGAGTGCATCATATCGTGCCGCGTCAGGGGAAGCGGATCCGTTAGAGAAGAAAGCATGGAGAAAGTGCGCAGTAGATGGGATCCGCCGGAGAAGTACTTCCCCTGACGCGGCACGATATGATGCATCCCAGTGTATATTTAGTAATATTTAATAATGCTGCACAGTATGATTCGTGTAATTGTGTAATTGTGCGTGTGTGCATACGTATGTATATATGTGGTGTGCAAGTGTATGTGTAAACGCGTGCATAAAATATGATCGCGACTAAACCGGTCATTAACAATATTATGATTACGTATACTCTCTCTTTTATGCACTAGTTCGTTTCTATTATAATATATACAATTACTAGTCAAGAAGTCATATTTTTGTTTACATCAATAAAAAATGGCAGAGGACTTACCGTTGTCCAGCGCGCGTGATATCGCACATTACTGTAGGGAAATACTTGTCTTTTGCATCTTTCGATATTGTAATGCTTTATACTTTCATAAATAATGTTTATTACAAAAGTAGATGTATGTTAGCAGAACAGTCGTGTTCCCTACAATAGTATGTGAAAACAGAAAAATGACCTAGATGTATCTTAGAGTACAGCATCAGTGTTTCTTTGTATTTTTCAGTAGTTTCTCGTATTTACTCTTGCTTGAATACCACAGAGCGAACGGAATAGCTAGTGGAGGTAGAGTCATCACAGCGAAAGCAGCCCAGTCGATCTGTAACGCAACATGATATGACTGCATATGACGAAACATTGTCGTAATAAGCATCGGACATGTGATTTTGAAAAATATTTCTTTTCTATGATTAGTCTTCCGATTGTTCATACTTACTACGTGAGATGAGAATTGTTTGTCATAATCTCTGTATGCCACAATAAGTCCTTCGCCTGGTTCACTACTTACAGCTACCTGCAGTCTAGGAGCATCCTCTTTGCGGCGGTATAAGACCTCGGCTGAGGTAAAGTTAAAGAATCCAAACTTGCGTGGTCTCACAACAACTGTATGGCTTACATTTGTGTAAGGGGGTACACGATCTATCCTGGCATTCACTTCGCCGCTCACGTGAGTGAAATGATCTGGGTGGAATGAATTGTCTGTGATCTCAACCTCAAATGCAGCCACATTGCCAATATTGTAAATAGTATACTGTAAAAGGTATATATTTCAGTAACATTCGACAGACATTTGAAATATTGTATATAGAATACATGTATATCTTTCTCTTGTTACCTTAATAACTATATCCATATTTTCTACTAGATATTTGTTAAGTATTTGTTTAGAGACTAATAACCTAGCAGCCTCTTCTTCCTCCGCATATCCAGCTGTAAATAATACAGCAACAGCTGCGAGCAAAATATGCCACTTCATTCTATAAAAGGTTGAAATATTTTTCTATTAATTATTTTATTATTAGATTTTGTTATGGAATATACTTTGTATTAGTTCAATATCAGTTTGTTTTAGTGTACATCTTATAATTTTATATCAGTATCTGAGACTCTGACAATAAATAAACATTTGGAATTATAGTATAATTGTTTCATTTAAATGTAATAATTACAACTATCATTAATTCATTTTAAGTAAGAATTTTCATTTATTTCTGTGATAGTAATACTACTATATAAATAGTTTGCTCTATTTGAAGATTCCTGTAGTTTCTATTATATGTTTTTACTAATGCGTTTCTAAATATATAAAGAATTAATTAGTCAATTTTTTACTGCTATAATATCTTATTGCAAGTGAAAACTTGAAAAATCAGCTTCTTAATTATATTACCAAGTAGTTTTGGCAGTTTTTAATTTTGTGAGAAAATATATATTCATTTCATTCAAATGTAAAGATTCTAAACGAATGAAAGCTTCGTAAAACTTACATTATAGCGTGGGCAGTGTTTTACGTTTCTGTATTTGTTATCCTCGCCTATTCACCGCAATACGACTCGTATCACTCGATCACTCCATACGGCGAAAGAGTCGGCGACCGCAAAATAACACGCGAAGAAGTGCCAACAGCGCCCCGTTTGCTGCCACGTTTCCGACATGGATGATACACATAAGTATTTCCGGTAAGCGCTGTAAGCGGCAAGATGGCGACGACAACGCGTCTGTCAAGGATCAGCTGATTGTGACACTTGATATGAACACTTTGCAGAACACTTTGCCGTGTAAACGAAAGTAACATATATTTTAAAAAAGGGGATCTTACAAAACGGGGTTTGTTTTCTATTGCTGAACTGGCTATACTAATTTACACTTGTTCTCTTCTTCTCTCCCTTTCACTAACTCCTAAATGAATATCTATTTCTCTTTATGTTTCCTGAGTGTACACTAGTTCAGCGATAAAAAACAGACCTATGATGAGACGCGAATTCATTTTTATTAAATTTGAATTGTCTTAATCGTATTTTTAGATATCAAGTGAAGAATTCGATGTTTTCCTAAGAAAATTTGAAGTTTCTGGTGCGAGTCGCCATCACTCCCATTGACAATTTAAACTCGTAGTACGACTCAACGTCAAATCGGACGGGTCTTTATTTTTCAACGGCACGATTCCACGGCGTGTTGAAGAGATGCATTTTATTACCGAATAACACACTCTAATAGCATATTTAAAGAACTCTTTGTTTCCAGATATAACTTAACGATAATGAAATAATTTTGTTTTTTCAATCGCATAATCTAATGGCCGATCGAATAGACTTCCGTCTTTATCTACTATGGGGAAAATAAAGTCCATGCGGCCTGTCTATTGGACATGGACACAGTGTGAATTCATCATTATCGCTTGTGTTTACTTGTGTTGCGTCTGACATCTAATTCAGGATAAAATGTAACGTATCATTCCTCAAGTGCCATGAATGTCACTCAATGAGCGTAATCGTGCGAGGAATGCGTATGAGCAATTGTCCCGCGAGGTTCTGTAATTATTAACGTGTCAGATAGGTAGGTCATGTAGTACATAATATATCTGTATAAATAGTAGCAATGAATCGCACGGTATCCGACAAAACAGTAGCGATTGATGTTATTAAAAGGAGCGTAGATCGCCAGTATTGTCATAAAATGCATCGTCTCATCAATTATTGTTGGCGTCACTGCTTCTTTTAGTTTCATGCATTATGCGCATCTATTTATTTCAATACTATAACCTCAAACCGATGATGTTATTGTAGGTCGTAGATTGCAGGTAAATGTTTAAAATACGAGCTAATTTACTTTTATTTTATTTCTAAATTTTTATAAAGTACCTTGGAACACGTAAAGTAACTATATATTTGACAATTTAGAAATTTTATACATCAACCCTCCTTGTAGATCAATCATTATTTCAGATATTTCTGAAAAAATGGCAGATGTTAGATTACTCATTCAGGAAGAAGGTCGTACTGCTAGAAACTTGATAGCTTTTAATGTACCAGTTGGTACAAATAATACAGAAAAGATTACAAAAAAACCACCCAGTGTACCAAGGCAAGCTCAGTTAGGTTCAACAAAGCGATCTATGAAACCAGCAACAAGAGTAAGATCTGCTTCTACAGGTCGTGACAAAAAATCTGGTAAGTTTATATTCATTTAAAGTTGATCAAATCATATGAGTTTGACAGATCTCTTTTATGAAACAGTTATTAAACAAATTGTCGCTTATATTAATATTTTTTATAATTATAATTTATCCAACTTTTAAGTATATGATGTTTGTATAGAATTACAGGCACGATATTGGGCATTTCTATTTGGGAATTTACAAAGAGCAGTCGATGGAATTTATCAAACATGTGAAGAGGATGAAAATATTTCTGAGTGTAAAGAAGTTATCTTAGTTTTAGAGAATTATACGCGCGATTTTCATAATTTAATAGAATGGTTTAGAGTTAAATGGGCATATGAAAATTCGCCACCACCATTAAGACGAACTCCTTTAGCTTGGGAAGTTAGAAAAACTTCCCCTTGCCGAATATGGAATTCTACAATAATTCCAAAATCTACTAGTCCCTTACAGAGAGCAAGTCCAACCGAATCTATTTGTAAAAGTCCAGTTGAACAAATCATATGTGAATGTAAAACGATTGTAACAGACAACAAGGTTAATAATGTTAAGGAAGAATTACTTCATAAATTATTAAAAGATAGTAAAAACAATGTCTGTAAAAATTGTTCCTCTGATATTAAAGAGAGGCGTAAAAATGGTATAGATAAAATAGGAAATCAAACAACGAATAAGGAGAGATCTGTATCGACAAAAGCACTCAACAAAATTCTCGTGAAACAATCGGTACAATCAAAAACGAATCTCGAAGATCGTAGGACATTAAACGAAAGTATAACATATGATTCGAGAAATAAAGTAGATTCAAGAAACATTCCTAAACATATAAAGGATTCTGTACACGGCAATATTACGAAGCTGGCTGATTCTAATTTATCAGTGGAGAAACAAGAACAAGCGTATAAAAGTGATAAAAACGTTCAGCTAGAATCGAGCATTGACTGTGAACTTATACAAAAAGATACTAATGTCGTGAATGCTAAAGACGGCAAGACGGAGGGAAAAAATCCGGATACAAGATTATTGTATAATAAAAGTAACACAGTATTGGGGAAAAACGAAATTAACGTTAGGGTAAAAAAAGATAGTATCCAGAATACTTCAGAAAAAATAAAACAAGTCAACTGTCAAATGAATAAACATGAAATTGGTGATAAATCAGATAATAAGGATACTCGAAATTCCACAGCAAATTCATCCTCTATTCACATAGATAAAAGCCCTATGACATTCGACACAAATAGGCCCGCATACTCAACCATATCGCAAACAAGATCTAAAACACATTCATCAACTTCGTCCGAAACTCCAAAGTTCGTCAGAAGTAAGACCTGCTTAAGTGGAAAAATTTTACCTACTCCAAGTAAAACAAGACCTGGAACGTCTGTTATAGTGAGAGGACGATTTCAAACTCTTGAAAATAAGGTATATTGTTTCTTCTCATAGCATACGTTTGAGTAAGAGCAATATTTAATACAAATTAATATCTTTTTCCAGCTGTCTGAACAAAATCTTTCAAAGAAGGATCAAAATAGAGACATGAATGGATCGGTGGAGGTTTTGACGAAGCAAACGGTATCTTCCAAGTTAAAGGACGAAAACGACGGTTGGCAGACAGTTAGAAACCGCTGTAGAAGAGGAAGTACTCATAATTTAAACATGTCGACACGCTTTCATAAACCGAGCACCGCCCTATCTCTGCCAGCTTTATCCATAGAGAGTCCATCGGAGAAGATAAAGAAGAACTGTTACACTCCCGATGGAAATAACAAGCAAAAGAAAAAGTGTATTGTAGGTAAAGCTGGAAAGAACATGAACAACGAAGTTGAGAAGGTTAAGGGAGAATCCATGTCATCATCTACTATTAAAAGTAGCCTCGAAGATACATTCAAAAAGAATGCATTGAATCTGTACGATACCAACTCAACGTCGATGATCGCAGCTATCTTTAAAAACGACGCAGAGCTGCTCGAGAAACGTATACAACAATTTATGGCTGCTCAAGCGGAAAGAGAGAGAATTATTTTAGAGGAAGAGAGAAAGACGGAAGAAGCAGATTCTCAGAGATCTCAGCAATTATCAGATGAAGAGGCATCTTTGAAACGACAGATTTTGGAGTTGGAGTCCAGCGAAATTGATGTCGACACTGAAACGGATGAAACGGACGGTGAAATGGTTCTCGAAATGGAAGATGAGCCTGTGGTGTCGCTCAGTGTCGTCGCTGACGATATTAGCTTGGAAGATAGGTATGTCGCGTATGAAAGAGTCGCGTGTATTGTTAGAATCTTAACATCTTTAATTGTCGCACACTTCACTAATGAAACTGATTATTGTAGATATGAAAATATGTTAGAAGGAATGTCGTGGGCGGAACGAGTCGATACCCTCGCGCAATTACGCGCATTAGTGGCTCGTCATCCAGGACGTGCTTTAGAATTGCATCAAAAACTGTCGTCTCCATCACGAAAAAGATCGCTTCCTGAGACGTTAAGAAGATACCAGGCGAAGCAAGCTTGCGCGCAACATAAACGTCAAAAGTTACTAATGGAAAAATCGCAACGTTTGCGCGAATTATTGAACAAAGTAGAGGACGTTAAGAGCGCAAAGAGCCAGTTAATAGAAGACAAGAGGATCAGGATGGAAATGAGACTTAAAAGAGCGGAGGAAAATAGAACGCAACATTTGCTAGAGATAGTGAGAAAAGCGCACGATGAGGACTCGAAGTTAAAGGAAATAGCTTTCATCAACGAACTTGAAGCACAGAATAAGAGACATGATTTCATGGCATTGTGCCAGGAACAAGAAGAAAGATTGCAGGTATGTGCATGTACTCCTGAATAAAACAGTAACGCAAGTGAATATATTCAAGTTATTAACTTTATATATTTAGAACTTTCTAACAGTGAGGAATTGTGTGTGATATAATTTAATTAGTTTAATTAAATGTAATATAATTTATATACTTTTATAGGGTATCCAAGAAGAACGTCAACGTCGACAAGAGGAGAAGGCTGCCAAAGAAGCTGCGGCTGAAGAACGTCGGAGAGCTTTGGAGGCAGAACGACAGTTGCGAATACAAAAAATGAAACAAGCACGGCGAGAACGTGAAGAAAGGGTTGGTAAGATGCAGCTCGAGAGAGAAAAAGAACGACAGGTGAGTGAGCCGTCATTGTTATTTGTGTACGGCCGAAATTTGTAATATGTAAAGAGCTACTTACTGATTTGGATTTTGCAGGAACTAGCGAGAGAAAAAGCACGAGATCGCGAAGAACGTTTGTCGGCGTTACACGCTGCGCAACTGGCTAATCAAGAAGAGCTGCAGAAGAAAATAGCACAGAAGCAGCAAGAATCCGCTAGGAGGCATGTAGAGAATATTGAGCACATTCGACAGCGTGCGGTTGAATCTTCAATTTTAAGATCGGAAGAAGTACCGCCTACCCTTAAATCTTATCCTGCTCAAAAACAGTGTTCTCTGTGTGGCACGATTGTGAGCTTTGTTCTAGTTATGTAATGCCGCAGCTTAGACAAAACATTACATCTGTATATTTTACAGATATTCAACGAGGTATATCTTCTGAGTCACTTGAAAGGGAAGACGCATCTTGAAGCGGTGCGAAATGCACATGATAACCGTGAGCCATCCCGAGATGAACTTCAACGCTTCAACATTGCGCAGATACGAGATGTACCGGTCACCGTGGCCAACAGTAGTAATGTGAGTAACAGCAAAGCTGCGAAAGAAAAGCAGAAAGCGTTGAAACGTCGATGCAGGAAGATAAAGCAACGTATGAGCTCGCGCGGCCAAGAGTGGGAAGACAAACAAAAAGCTGAGGTTAATCCAAATTTATCGACCGAATCAGCCAACAAGGCCAAATTCCGGCGTAATTTAAAGGAGCTCGATAAGTTATACAATAATCATTCCAAATCTGCGTGGTCGACTATAGCGCTTGCCGCCTTGGAGCGTTGTTTAGGTGAAATTACCCGAGCTTTTGCCAAATCAGTAAGTCTCACGAAGAGCAAAAAGATACTTTCTTCACGGATTATTTCGTATTCTATTCTGTTCTTTCTTTTTCAGTGTCAATTTGATCAAGACTCTTTCAGATGCTTGAACGGTTTCGACACTTTAACAAACTTATTGAATCTAGGTTTAAACACACAAAATGTATCGCATAATTTACCGAACAAGTGAGTACAATGGAACTTCTCAATTATTATTGTAAGACTTCTATTCAATTGTGACATATTACTGAGAAGTGTTTTCAACGTACTTTATGTTTGATATTTTAGAGCAATCGTATCACTGTGTCGAGTTTACAAAGCCAGCATCACTGGCAATAATGAGAATATAGAAAACATTTTGTTAAGCAACAAAATTCTCGTTATCTTGGACTTGCTTTTACAACGTTTGGAGGTGAGTTTATTTTTATTTTATTTATTTTTCTGTCAGTGTCAGTCATGCTCGATGGCTCTCATAAGTTTTTGTAAATTACGAAATATGAATTACTTTTTAAAAAGTTACCTAAGAATAATTATTTTCTTAATTTATTAATTGATAATGAGTGATTTAATCGCTTGAAAAATATTTTTTTTTATTTTGTCTATATGTAAAGTAAACAAATAAGGAGAGAACAAATAAGAAATTTTTCGACATTTTCTATATTGCAAAACATATCTAAACGCATATGCAGTTTGATCTGTGAAAATATGAAACAACACCTATCTACTGTGTGCTGCCATCTAAGAAGAAGAGGACTAACTATCCTCTCTCTCTCTCTCTCTCTCTTTCTCTTTCTCTCTCTTTCTCTTTAGACATTTTTATAAATTGAATTCTATATAGGGGACTATAGGACAGAAATAGATAATGAAATATCCATTTTATTTATTTTTAAATGAAATTTATGATTATTTTACTTACACAATGAAATGAATGGGAGGGCTCTTGATATGTATCTGTAATTTGCGATAAGTTATACAATTGTCGCATCTACTGCTCACATCAATATTACTTGAAGGAAAAATAAATATATTACTCTTCGTATAATTAAAATGATCCATGAACGAAGAATGCATGGAAAACAGAATTTTTTTAAATATTAAATCTATTTAAGCTCTTATTAGTTGAAAAAATTAATGTATCGTATTTTCAGTAAAAAAGAAAACTGATATCTTCAATTAATTTACGGACAATTTGGTTCAAAATTTGTGGTCTCTTCAAAGCAATCGAGCTTTTTTAGAGCGCATTGATGATGCTTCCCTCTAGAATGCTTTAATTGTCAAGTATTATCGAGTAAGAATTTCCGTTTTCTGATAAAGTTTTAAGACATGAGCTGACAAGATACAAGCCGATATTCGGCAAGCGTGCGTAAGCATCGCCTTCCAAAACGAGCTAATGCGATAGATAGGTATGTAGATTACGGCTCGTTTTGTTCCTTTTTTCGATCTCGTTTCGACGTTGGTAAAAGGACGACGGTAAAGACGACGTGGCCCTGTCATCCTGTCTATGCTGTCTAACTTGTCAAAATAAGGATTAAGAATCTTAGAGATCTACGGTTTCGTATTGCCATTGCTTTTGGGCTGCAATAAGCGCGTGTAGTTTCTTTCGTACAAGACGCACGATAAATATAAATATTAAGAGTTTGATATTCGATAATTTCGGTGAATTTAAGTTCTTCTTTTCCTTTGCAAACGTGCCGAGAGAAAGAGAGAAGTAGCTATTATATCATTCCTATCTTCTGTTCTAATAGCGTTACTTTCCACTTTTATTCATATCATTCTTAAAGTTATAGTTCTTACATCTTGCGCAATATACATGAAACACAAACGTATTGTGTGTATTTTGGTAACGAATATATTCGAAATATTTTACAAATGATTTTATCTTGCGAGTTTTATAACTGAGAGAAATTTTTAAACAATACCTATTATATAAATCAAATATATAAAAAGAATTTTCTATTAGACTGGGACGGTTCAATTAGTAAAATATCTCTGATAACACAATTTGATATACAGTCGAGATAAAATGATTCGGTTTCGCGCGCTTTATATACTTATGAACTGTGTATTGAGACAGTGGAAATAATTTATTCAGTTAATTCCCTTCATCTTTTGAATTATCAGATGCAATTTTACGCAAATAGCTCTATATGGGCAACAATAAAACGTGCAAGGTAAACAATTATGTATAATATATTTTTGTGCAGTGACAACGGTGGAGTATAACGAAGTTGCTTGCAAAGTTATGAAGAAATTAAATGCATTCGCATTCATTTTAGTGTGTTTCGTGCTTTCGCTATATATATATTGCATATATATATATATATATATAGAAATTTTAATAGTGGACGATCTCTCGGGCTTACTGCGCTGTTTGCACAACTACGGGCGCATCTCGCGGCCGAAATGACCAGTGCAAAAATTCGCACTTTCGGCACACCATATGCCCGCAGCCAGCGTGTACCATTCCACGGCATCGATCATTGTATCGTTTTGCCACCGACGACGAGACGGATTCGTCAGTGTGATTTCACCGTCAATTCTTCACGCTCCATAGATACGGCACTGGCGCCTCCTCCTTCTCGTCCCCTCTTCCAAGGATCCCCCTCCGCAAATGCATTAGCGGCGAGAGAGCTTTTAGTGACGTCACCCACATACAGAGATACGCGTGCACGCACGCACGCACGCACGCACGCACGCACGGACGCACGCACGCACGCACGCACGTACGCACGCACGCACGCACGCACGCACGCATGTATACACATGCATATATGTGACGCATGCACGCACACACACACACGTGCGCGCTCACGGACGGAGCCGGGTTATACGGGTGAAAGGAAAGTCCGCCCGCGAGAGAATGTGCGTGGGGTACTTCTGTTTCCACTTCCATCAAGTCCCGTTTCGAGGACCCGGTCTAATCTTTTGTCTCGTCTCGTCGTCGTCGTCGTCGTCGTCCTCCTTCTTTTCCTCTTCTCCTACCTCCTTTCCTATCGGCACTTTTTCAAAGACCTCTTCGCGCGTCCTAGAATTCGAAATATGCGCTGCAATTCTCCCGTCATCGTGCCGCAGCTTTTCCGACATAGCTTACGACAACCGTGGTTAACCATGAGACTTTGCGCGCGACGACGAAAACAAGGAGGAGGAGGAAGAGGAGAAGTTGGATTGTGTGTTTGAAAGTCCGACAGAGTAATTTTTTCGGAGTTAAATATATGATCATTTTTCAATTCGAAATCTGGCGAAACTCGACGGAATCGAATATGTGCTCGAGTTATGCTTTACAATTTTGTTCTGAAAAACATAAGGAGAGCGGGGCCCTTCAGATGAAATCCGTTTGTTCTACAGATTTTTATTAACGATGCGATGATAATACGTAACTATATAACATAACATTGTGTCGAGACGAACCTATCTTATAGGAGCTACAAATTTCAGTTGATACAGATACGGAACTAATTCAACTGGTTTTTCTTTTTTTTTTTGTACGGATATTTTGCCTTTATCGTTATTCGTGTAGTCGCGCGGCTTCGTTTGTTGTTAGATCGTTCGTTATTATCGGCCAGACTCCTCGTCCCTGTATGCCCGAAACGGGATTCTCGAGAAAATGGAAACAAGGGTGTCACCTCGTTACCAAATGGACCAGAAAAAGATCATGTCGTAAAGTCACGGAGATAAAAACTCTCGCGAATTAAAAATTCAGCGATAAACAGGATTAGACGGAGGGTCCTCTCGTTTTATCTTTATAACTGTTGGTATTACCGTGTTCTCCGGTGTACACGTGTTTAATATGGCCGATGTGCAATCAATGGGACCGCTATGTCGAATTCAAGACGAAGGCGCTTATAAATTCGTGATCGCGAAGCAGGAAGTTGAAGCGAAAATTTGTGCACACGCTCGAGCCTGACAATCCGAAATATTTCACAGTATGAAATTACTGACTTATCACCCTCTTCTCACGGAGGAGGGAAGGGGTTGAAGTTTCTGTTTTAACTAAATTAAAAATACAGATTGATTCTTCAAGTAAATTATTTTTTCTCGTCATTCCTATTTTACGAATAATCTCTATCTTAACATTCATATCGAGTGCGACAAAATGTTTAGAGATTCGCAAAGATCAATCGTGGTTAACATCGATTTTTAAATAGCGACACAATTTACATAACGACAGTAGAACGTATTAATATCACGTCATCGGATGTTAAAGTCATAGAAAACAATTTAATACATCGTGTAATCAACCTACAAACTTCTCGTCAAGTTCACCAAATGATATTACGCCGATCGCGTAAGTAACTTTTAATGAATATAAAACTGCAAACACGATTTCAATCTTCTGCCCCAGTATTACTCTCGACAGACAAGATTACATAGTCCTGGACCATTACGCAAAGAAACGAATCACTCGGTGGGGCCCGCGAATGTTTCCCAATCTCTTGCCCGTCGACCGAGCGAATTTACAATTCCACGTAAATTGCTAGAAATTATTCGGCTCCTATAACTGTCTCCCTCTCGTCCGAGAATTCACATACGTATGCATACGTATGACTGCGTTCTAGCTGATGGACGCGGAGCAATTTCGATGACTACAAACTGAATTCATCGACCGTGGAAGAGGGAAAAAAAACGTCGAAAAAGAGTTCGAGTCGAATGAATTAAAGTTCGGGCGAATAGAGCGGATCGACGATATAAAGCAGATGTGACGATTTAATACGCGCTACTTTTTGCATGTTTCATTTTCGCCAATAACGAGACAAAGAATATCGAGCGCGTAGTCGTCCGAAGATACGAAGGAAAAGAAGAAGGAAGAATGCAACGTATGTATCGAATATCTTGCAGTCGAAAAAAATGACTCGATGCGCTGCTCAAAAACTTTCCGATTTATTTACGCAAAAATACGTCTGACTAAATTCTCCTTCTCTGCGTCCATTATTGGCGGAAAATAATAACAACCAAACAACTATAATAATAATGATGACGATAACAATAGCAACTGAAACGTGTTCGGGCTCAAACTGGCGCGAATGACCAGCGTGCGGCGTTCGACACGACGTGAATAAATCTCTAAATTGATCGCAGAGGACACGCAAATCGACGTGACGAATACAATAAAATTTTGCAAATCAATCGCGAAATCACGCAGCGTGCGCGCTACTATGTGTATTATTATCTCATAGAATTTTCTAAGAGCTCTTCTCTCTCTCTCTCTCTCTCTCTCTCTCTCTCTCTCTCTCTCTCTCTTTCTCTCTTTCTCTCTCTTTCTTTCTCTCTTTCTCTTGCGTCGATCCGCTCGCTCCGATTCGCCGCTTTGGAAAGAACTGGATTAACATAAAAGCATCTCCCGTTTATGGTCGCACATACTCGATATATGCGTTCCTCGAAATTTCACGTCTTGTTGGCGTCTTGTTTTCGTTCGTCCGTATCAGAGAGGCGTCGTGATCCCCTCGTTTTCTTTTTCTCTCTCTCCCTCTCCCTCTCTCTCTCTCTCCTTGCTTTCTCGCTCGCTCACCCTCTATCTCTGTCTCTCTTGTATATGGATACGGATGGAATTGAATTTGTCAAGGCAGTGGTCAAACCACTTTTTAATGTTTCGTCGGAGATTATTTCGCTACCTCTTATGAGCGCGGCCGGTTGGTAACATTATCTTTTCCATCCGAGAGGCTCGTCCGGCGCAACAATAGTTCTTAGAGGAGATTACGCACGCTATGCCATTGGATGTCCAACGGGGGGATGTCGCGAATTCATAAAAATTGACAACAAACCGCACAAGCTATTCTGTATATCGTTCAATGGAGAACTGCACGAGGGGGAAAGAAGAAGAGAGAGAGAGAGAGAGAAAGGAAAGACATATTTGTCAAAACACATTTAACTTGAAGAAAATTAAACGAGACTTCCACGAGAAGGTTTAGTTATTTAGTTTAGAACAAAATTAAATTGTATAACAAATACGACATAGATAATATGCCAGACTGTGCGTTGTTGCGCGAAACAGCGAGATCGTTTAATATACACAAATACAAAAAGTTTCCGACCAAAGATGATGAATTCAACGGTCGCTCGTTCGTCTGACGTTTGCACGACTTGTCTCCTTGCCGACTTCTCGGCCGCTGAATTAAAAACAAAATCGGGACGCACGATATTATGTTACGACGTTAAGTCCATTATAAAACTCGGCCGTAATTTCCGATGCAGTCGCGGGATATATGCCGCGCGATACATTCGAGCGCGAGCGAGCAAGGATCAGAGTCAGCGGCCAGAAGTTAAATAAAAGTGGACAAACGTGTAGTACGACTTTTCGATAGGATTCTCCGAAGCGCTTATCGAAAGCGAGGCTAAACCGTTTAGGACCCATATTCCTGTCTCCGGGATTCTTATCGGAACCCTCAGACTCGTTACCACTAATTTAGCGTTATAAATGCGCGTACGTGTGCGTGTCGTCCAGGACACACTCCGCTCGGTCCACGCCGAGAGCGGGCAACTCGGTAACAATGACTCAACGTATTAGGAATTCGCTGATGTCTAAGCGTCGACTAGCTGATCGACTGGCCTTATAGGCTTTAAGTAGCTAGCTCAGCTACACGTAAGCCCGCGTTGTCTCCCGGTAAAAAGGACGGACCCGAGAAAATATATACTGAGATATCTTTTTTTTTTTCTTCTCTCTATTTCTCTCTCGTTTGGGGAGTAAAATTCCACTCGGGAAGGTATGCGTGCGCGACAGCCGAGTCACTCGGACTCGAGCGATCTTTCGTCGCTCATACCGAGTGTATTTTCCACTCGAAATCGTCGAGTGAACATTTTCACTTCGGAATCGAAGAATGAATCTGATACGCCGCACCGTCATGGGAATGGATTCACTCTAACCGATTGAAACATTCACTCGTACAGATTAAAAATCCGCTCTAAGCTTGAGCGAAACGTTCACTCTTACGAACCCTCCCTCCTCCTCGCCTGAGCGTCGGTGTTTTCGCTATCGTTCTGAGTGAATTTTTCCTCGTTTCGAGTGAGATTTCGCCCCGAGAAATTTCGAGAGAGTACATCCCTCGCGTTTTCTTCCGGCGCGAGTTCCTCTCTCCGGCGGGAATGTCGGGAGCGCTGTTACGGCTCTCGTCGTAGCAATAATAACACGAGCCGCTAAGCGTGTGAAGGATTCTACCCTGCGAATTGGAGCCGCAGAAATTCTCGCCGGTCACATTTTTCACATTATCGAGCACGCGCGAATTGCTCTCGCACCTAAAAATAAGAGATCGAATCGGGGAGGGCAAATAAGATTTTACGCGCGGTTGGGTGGGCCGCACTTCTGGACGCGGGCATATTCTATTGCGCGGAGGATGACGATCTCGCACGAGATTCGGTGTGAACGATTACGTTTTACCTTCACAGACTTTGGCTAGTCTCGACGACCACGCTCAGACTCAGGACGTGTCTGCCAATTCAACCGGAAATGGAATGGTGGCCGCCAGCGTGACGCAATTGCTCTGCAGCATGATCCCCGAAGAGCCCTTTGAGAGAACCGCCTTGCAGACGCGCGTTCAAGATATTGCTGGGTGAGTCTTGCAAAACGTTCGATTTACGGGCGTACTTTTCTGTTACACGACTTTCCGACATCTCGTAACATGCGTTACGATGGCTGAGAGAAGCCGACCCCGGCTCGAGAGATAATAACATTTTTATCAGAGCGTACATCTCACCGAGTCGCGTGAGGAAACGGACGGATAATAGCTTTTTAGCGCTCGCTGTTTCCGGTGAATTTCCAAAATTACCAAGAAAACACTAGTTTAATTTTGAAAAAAAAAATAAACGTTCAGAGTCGCCCACGTCGACGTTATTAACGGATAATTCACAGCGCGTAGAGCCGAGTCTGCTACAGCGTTAAGCGCGTTGTGCTTTAATAGAAAAAAAAAAAAAATATATATATATAGGGGTGTCCGCGTTAAAGTATAATCTATTTTAAATTGATAACATTATATTTTTCAACGAGATATTATATTCTAAACAGTAACACCGTGATGCAACGCGTACACGTACGTACATGTCGACGCGAACAACAAATACTAACAAGCAAACGGTTGGAATTGTCCCTCACCGATTTTCATGGGCTTTGGATATGTCGTAGAACAATAAAAACTATTAGATACGTATTTTTTTTTATGTGCGTATCTCAAGGTTTAGGGAGTGAAAAAATCCCTCGAGAGAAAACCAATATTTCCATGTTTTGCGAATATCTTTTGAAGATATATGAAAAAATGTTTCCTATAAAAGTTTTACACTACTTTATACTGTTTGCAACGGTATATTCAAATTCTTCAAAAGTGTCAACATTTTCAACCTCCCCCCTATCCCTTTAATTTTGATAAAATTTAAAAATTTCATGAGGGCAAAAAGTATATATATATAAAGAGCGTTTGATGCCGAATCCATCCATATAAAATAATATAATATGGTCATGATTAATTTAAAAAAAAACGAGATGATACCGTGCTATAGGCGCCGCGCTGTAGATAGGTGTTGTGTTATTTCTTTCCAGTTGCACTGTACTTAATACTCTGTCTCTTATGTATATTTCCTCGTACTACAAAATGCAAGAGAATTAATCTTAATGACACAATATGGAACTTATTACACGAAATAAAGATGTTAAATAGATGAACGTGCATATACAGTATGTCTGATTTAAGTGGGTACGTTTAATTATTTCTTAGAAAATTAAAGATATAAAAAAAATGTGTAAACAAAAGTTGTTTGGTTTGAAGGGGGGATATAAGACAGCGATAGCATTTTGTTTACAGATGATGCCACTTTCGAGATATTCACTGATCATCAATATATTCTTAAGACCAAATAAAGTAAAAGAGTCTTATACTTGTTTTTTCCGACAAACGAGAGCGAGATATCGTAAGTTAAATATTGAAAAAGATACCAAGTTATCCTTAAATACTTCAAAAATATTAGGCAAATTAGAAAATGTTTCAGGCAAAAGTTGTTCATACTAATTGGTAGAAAAAGATGATGCAATAAAAAGTTGGGATTTCCATTTAAGAAAATTGATGATCAGTGAATATCTCGAAAGTGGCGCCATCTGTAAACAAAATGCTATCATTGTTTTATATCTCTTTTCAAACCAAACAACTTTTGTTTAAACAATTTCTTTGTATCTTTAATTTTCCAAAAAATAATTAAACGTATTTACTTAAATCAGACATACTGTATATGCACGTTCGTCTATCTAACATCTTTATTTAGTGTAATAAGTTGCTTATTGTGTCATTAAAAATAATTCTCTTGCATTTTGTAGTATGAGGAAATATGCATAAGAGACAATTATTGAGTATAGCGCAACTGAAAGAAATAACATAGCACCTATCTATAGCGCGGCGCCTATAGCACGATATCATCTCGTTCTTCTAAAAATTAATCATGACCATATTGTGTTATTATATATGGATGGATTCGGCATCAAATGCTCTTTAATTTTTGTTCTCATGAATTTTTTTAATTTTATCAAAATTAAAAAGATAGGGGGGGGGAGGTTGAAAATGTTGACACTTTTGAAAAATTTGAATATATCGTTGCAAACAGTATATAGTACTGTAAAACTTTTGTAGGAAACATTTTTTCATATACTCGTACTTTAGAAGATATTCGCAAGAAATGGAAATGTTAGTTTTTTTCGAGAGGTTATTTCACCCCCTAAACCTTGAGATACGCACATAAACAAAAATACATGTCTAATAGTTTTTGTTGTTCTACAACATATCCAAAGCCCATCAAAATCGATGAGGCACAGTTCCGACTGTTTCCTTGTAAATATTTCATCGTCGTGTCAAGTATTTGAGAAATTCGTCTTGCGATGTCAAATCTGCAGATATGGGCGATATTTTTCAGTTTTTGTTACGGTGTGTGCATTTTTCATTGTATTTTCTTTGTCGAAGGAGAAAAAATGACGTCAATGCTCGCACCGGCGAGTGAGCAACGTGTGTGTATTCGACTATTAGTTACAAATGCGCCATTAAAGTTCACCTCCGCTGCGGCGACGCGGAGTATTATTTCACTGATTAGGGTAATCGGAGCATAATTAGCAGGCATTCCACTTCTTTCTGGATGATACGAACGTTCTACGTAATTGCGGGCAATCATCTACGGTGAAATCGTAACTTCTGTAACGTGTGTTCACGTGTCTCTTTTCTCCCGGCTGCTCTTTTTTTGGGAATGCCCAACGAAAGAAGTAGTCGCCGTGGTGATCTTTTCGGTAAAAAAAGAAGATTGTTGTAACGACGGTAAAAATGATGGAGAACGAATCGAGTTTGACGGAGAACGAGGCGCAGGGTAAATTTTGCGTCCTTCTCGACAAGTATATTTTTTCTCGAAATTATATTTTCTCTCCGTGAATTCATATTATGATACGCATTACGATGACGCATTGAAGGCACACGTTTTATTGCAAAAATTGCACAGTCTCTAAATATATAAAGCACGGATATCACAACCGGAAATCTCTCTCAATGCGACTTACGTGTAAATCAGTATTGAATGTCGCTATACCGTCAACTGATGTTACTCGGAATTTGACGGGGGAATATAAACTTCCACACGGACAAAAAGATTTTCGAGAATAAACGTGACAAAGAATGAATTCCTAAATGCGCTTTGTTCGAAGGAAACTGACCCTTGTGAATCAAGTTTGGTTCTGCACTAAGAGAAAAGGTTTAGTTAGATTAACAAAACACCAGTAACCGCAACAAATGGTTTGTTAGTGTGAAACAGCAAATGACTCCGTTGCGGTAACAAATTATTTGTTACTTATGATTTGTTGCCCTAGTCAACAATTTTATAATGGGAACGAATGGTATTGTTATGTTAATCCAATAAATTGTAAATTTTTGATGTTGGCGATACAGAATGTGTAAGCAAAGGTTAGAAATTATATATAAGCAAATCCGTTGTATCAATTCTCCTCCACTAATATATAATATGTAGTAAAATGCGCGTAAAATACCTGATGAAACCACACATATAATGCTACACTAGCGCGTATCATAACTACTAGATAATTTAAATACAGCTCCATTGCATTTAATCAAATATTAATAGAGAAGAGTTAACAATTATTACATTAATCTTTATTTTTAGCACGATACATTATATAAAATTAAGGGATATACGTGCAAAGGCTCGTACTGTGAACATACTTTTATCGATAAAAAAGATATAAAAGTGGTTTGTAGCTACTTAAAAATGCTTATAAATTATATAAAGAAATTATTTTAAGAAGTGCTTTTATCTATATATGAGAGTTCAGAATATGGGTTATAGCAAAATCACGTAATGTATATATTATGCTGTTACGACATTGCTAATCTTTTTATTAGAAGTTGTACATGCAACGAACATGTATAATTTGCATCTCCAGCAATGTATATTCGTTAAAATTAGAAATAACGAAAAATAATTTGCTGCAGTAACTGTTTGATTTATTCCGCATGCAATTATCAAATAGTAAACGTTCATTTGTTGTGACAACAAAAGTCTTTTCTTTCAATGTGAAAACCAGAAATTCTGTTTCCTTTGAGCGAAACGCGTTTGCTTCGTCCGTTATCACATTGATTCTCCAGCAATCTTCTTCCCTTCGCGCGAGGTCTTCACGAAATCGCATTTCCAAATGATATCGCGATGTTTCTCCTTATCTAGATCTCACAACAGATTTGCGTCTCTTCCTCCCTCTCTCTCTCTCTCTCCCTCTCTCTCTCTCTCTCGCTCTCTCTCTCTCGCTCTCTCTCTCTCTCTCGCTCCCTCTCTCTCTCTCTCTCGCTCTCTCTCTCGCTCTCTCTCTCGCTCTCTCTCTCGCTCTCTCTCTCGCTCTCTCTCTCGCTCTCTCTCTCGCTCTCTCTCTCTCTCGCTCTCTCTCTCGCTCTCTCTCTCGCTCTCTCTCTCGCTCTCTCTCTCGCTCTCTCTCTCGCTCTCTCTCTCGCTCTCTCTCTCGCTCTCTCTCTCGCTCTCTCTCTCTCTCTCTCTCTCTCTCTCTCTCTCTCTCTCTCTCTCTCTCTCTCTCTCTCTCTCTCTCTCTCTCTCTCTCTCTCTCTCTCTCTCTCTCTCTCTCTCTCTCTCTCTCTCTCTCTCTCGCTCTCTCTCTCGCTCTCTCTCTCGCTCTCTCTCTCGCTCTCTCTCTCGCTCTCTCTCTCTCTCGCTCTCTCTCGCTCTCTCTCTCACTCTCTCTCCCTCTCCCTCTCCCTCTCGCTCTCTCTCTCGCTCTCGCTCTCTCTCTCGCTCTCTCTCCCTCTCCCTCTCCCTCTCCCTCTCCCTCTCCCTCTCTCTCTCCCTCTCTCTCTCCCTCTCCCTCTCCCTCTCCCCCTCTCTCCCTCTCTCCCTCTCTCCCTCTCCCCCTCTCACCCCCTCTCCCTCTCCCTCTCTCTATCTCCCCCTCTCTCTCTCCCTCTCCCTCTCTCTCTCCCTCTCTCTCTCCCTCTCCCTCTCTCTCTCCCTCTCTCCCTCTCTCCCTCTCTCTCTCTCTCTCTCTCTCTCTCTCTCTCTCTCTCTCTCTCTCTCTTTC